TGGTCGAGAGGAATGAAGGCCCTCACTTCTGAGCTGGCCTCAGTTGGAGCGTCACGCCTCGCTTGTTGGGGTCCAAAAGACGGTGAACACGTTTGGCTGGATACACTTGCTGACATGGCAAGGAGCCGACCTCAGTGGCGTTCCCGTTGTGAGTTTCTTTGTCTCTCCCCATCCCTTTTAGCTTCCCCTCCACCTACGACCTCATTTCGTAGCGCAAAACATAATAATTTTTCTTTTTCTTTTTTTCTTTGCCTAGTAGCCGGCTGGTAGCTTACCGGAACGATGCATATCCGTTGCTGGTAGCTCAGCTGGCATGCAACTATTGTATTTATTTTCCTTTTCTTTTATGTATTACGGCACAGTAGCTGAGATGTTTCCCACCTCTAGCTGACGTGTATAATGATGATGATGTGGTTTGTAAAAATTTTAAAAGTTCTACCCCAAAGGGATTGCTGAAATTGCTTGATCCCAAAGATAACCGCTAAGACTTCTTTGTTTAATTGAGGGGAATTTCTCTCCGCAGGTGCCAAGCTCCTGGATTCAAAAGCTATGGGTCGTTCGGTCATGTCATCCATTTTGTGAGATAGCACGACTCCGAGCCCTGTGGGTGATACGTCGCACCGGAGAGTAATCGGCCTCTTTGGGTCAAATTCGCCTTACGTATAGCCAGCTTGACAGCAACATAAGAGCTTTGTTGTTCTGGTGACCACAGCCATCGGGTATTCTTACGCAACAATGCATATAAGGGTGCGCGGGTAGTTGCTAGGTTGGGCAAAAGCGACCATAATGAGTCACCATCCAGTGAAACGATTGCAATTAGGGAATGTTACGCAGTGTCGGCGAATCGAGAATGGGTTGAATTTTCTCCCGTAATGGATGTGACCCATGTCTGTCCAAACGAAACCCCAAGTACTCAAAGTTATCGGAGAAAAAGGCACACTTGGATTCTTTGAGTTTAAGTTCGCTCTCTTAGAGGCGTTCCAAAACAGTGGTGAGTGCCGTTAGATGTTCGCAACCCATAATGCCAGTAACCAAGATAATGTCCAAGTAAGCACTACACTGCAGGTATACCTTTCACTAAATTGTCTACAATCCTCTGAAAGATCGACTGCGCAGAGTGTATTCCGGTTATAGTGAAACAACCCCATGAGTGTATTGATAATCGTAACTTTCTTAGCAGATTGATGAAGTTCCACTTGAGAAAAAGCGTGGCTCAGATCAAGTTAGGATAACTTTTGTCCACCCGACAAGGTTGCATAGAGATAATCTATTCGTGGAATAGGAGTGTTGCTTAATTGTCGCTTGACTAGCCTTCCGTTTGTAGTCATCGTAGATGCGAATCAAACCATCTGGCTTTTGTACCGGAACGATCGGTGCGGCCCAGGATGAGTGACGTACAGGCGAGATTATTCCGTCTTTTTAAAGGTGCTCAGACTCCGACTCCACCTTCGGACGGATCGCAAAAGCAAGTTTCGTGTTTTGAAAGATTTCGGTTGAGTACCTGACATGATGTTGAAACGAGCTTGGAAATCCCGGGCAGATGTGCATCAAAAGCAGGAGCAAAAGCTTTCAAAAATGTGAGGAAATCCGGAATGCGGTCCACATTTTTGATAGTTCGAAGTATTTTAACCAATTTCTCCCAAACAGGTTTGGGCCGTCGATGTTGACCAACATAAAGGGAAAAGTCAACGTATCGCTTCCATGATGTAAACTAACATCATGCACCCAGTACATAGCGCGATTTTCCTGTGTAAGAGCGTAATGTAGACTGAGTCTGTGTCAGAACCAGATCAAACAATGTTCGTTTGTTGATCAAGATGACTGAGGACCAGGTGTCGATTTCCAAGCGCAGTGGCTGGCCCTCTATGTCCAACTCCCTATAACATGAGATATGGTAGTGTGTGACATTAAATACGATATGGACTCGTCAGTTTTCCACAGAACGAACAGCATTTTGTGCAGGGCGGGGTACCGATCGCTGGTAAACTGTCAAACGGCATACGCGTGCAAGATATCCAACTTTGCCGCATTTGTGACAGGTAGGTTGCTTGTGTTTACAGTCAGCAGCGTTTTCATGCCTTTCACCGCATCGGTAGCAAGTAAAAGAACCTTTAACGGTTAGTTGAGGACGCGATTTAACAGCGTGAACTGCGTCAGGAAGAGAATCGTTCCGATAGTGAACCAATTGTTGCACCAAGTTCTCGCGTTGTCTGACCAGCGCAGATGCTGTCTCCCAATTAAATTTGTTCTCGTCTTTCGAAAGTAGGCGTTCGCTGGTTTTATCGTCGCGGATACCAATCAACAGACACTGGATAGCCATTGTCTCTTCAGACTTCGTGGGTAGAATTTCATTATAACGGCAACCAAGAAGGGATTGTTGTATACGGCTGATGAATTCATTAACATCTTCCTCTCTCTATCCTAAATTGGAAAAATTCAGGCGTGCCGTGAAGACATGTTGCCGCGGCCCCCAAAGGCAATCGAGTGCGTTAAGACTATCGGACAAAGAGGTGTTTTCGTACATACGCAATGAGTCAAAATGCCTTTGACCTTCTGCGCCCAGATGTTGTCTCCGGAGTTTGACAAACTGGGTTTCGGTAAGATTAATATAAGGATTTGTTATTGAGAATAGTTCAAGGTAATTGCAAATGGTTGTCTTCCAGCTAGTCCAAAGCGGTAGTCCACTTGCAAGATGCATCCTTCCAAAACGGTTCAGGTGAAGTAAGCTGGCTCATAGCAAAGGAATCAAAATGTGATCTCCGTCGCCAATGTTATCAATCGACCCGTAGCAAATCATTACTCCTAGTAGAACGTAGTATTCGGCCCGTAGAGCACGACAGCAGAACCCGTCAGTTTGGACAGTACACGAAATGCATTATGTTTTAGCATAAAAACAACGCTTCGCATGTAGCCACTAGGCTGATTACCAACTTACGTGGTGTGCCTTACGAAGACCGGTGTAGACCGTGTAGACCCTAGCTTATCGTCGAATGCGGGTTGACCTCATCATGACGCACCGGATATTACATCTGGGAGATTACCCCATTTTGAGACCGCTGCTTCATCTGAGCACGCCAAGCAGCGCACGAAGACACCGGTACAAGCTTGTCGTACCGGATTCGAAGCGGGTCGCTCACCAACTCTGTTTCGAATGCAGAGTGGTGAATGTATGGAACGACCTGCCGCAGCACGTAGTTGAGGCAAAGTCGGTGTGGGAATTTAAGAAGTTCCTGGACAAACACTTTGCGGACGCAAAATGTATTGAGCGCAGCACAACATAACGGGTCTTTGTCCCTGAGTGACATTAAATGCAGCTACACAGAGCAAACTCTACTTGCTGCTTCCAACCAGTAATCAGTCAGCTTGGTTTTAAACTAACATACAAGCTGACGCTGGTAGATCCAGTCAAAAGAAAGCAAGTGAACACAGTTTAATCGATGACTAGCTTGGCGTTAAACTGACACACACAGCCTTTGGCGAGATAGAACAGATAAGTGATGTCAGTTCGCGCAGATGCCGCAATAGGGTTACGTGATCCAATAAAAGAGTCGTGGGATTCGGCTCACTGACTTTGGGATTAGTGATCTGGATGTACTAGCACTTTCATTGTGCTATTGTTTAACTTTTAAAGACTCGGTCGCATCAGTACCGAAGAAGTTTTGTTGTGGTATTTCCGTATTGCAATTTGAAGTGTAATTTAATAATACCATAGTTAAATTTCGGCGTTGTTTTAGTATGACCCGGGAGTCTTAGGAGTTGCTCGAACCCATGCGAAGCTGTCGCTTACAAGGTAAAACATACAACCGATTAAAGATCCCAGATTGTGGACACGATCGCTTCAGGCAATCCGAAGCTCAGCTTCGAATTGAACATGTAAAACGTAACAAAATATTACTTATGTGTTAAAAATTTCAAAGAACCCTTTCGTTAGCTGTGCAGATGTATGGGTGGATGAGAACGGGCACGACAATGTCTAAGCATCCGCGGAATTCACAGTACAATAGTATGGTTAATGATGGGGAGAAAAGTTTATCCACACATCCTGCGCTCTTACTCAAACTGATGACTCCTCGTTGGCTTCTGAAAACATGGGTACATCGGTAGGTTGGATACATGAGATCCATATCTGATTTTCTCTTATATATTACCTTTTTCCTCATGTTAGCCTATGAAAACGTGAGCATATTGACAAATTGGATATTTATGTCCGATTTTTTCTTCCTCTATACTCTTTCTTCCTCTGCTTTTACAGCCTGAAGACCCACTGATAGCCTATGACAAAACATGCATAATGCATCGGCTCTGCTGTAGTGTTTCATCCCTCGTATACAGTTATTCTAAAGATATGAGTGACTGCAAGAGATGGATCTACTGAAAGGTTGTACTACTGACGCCTCCTGACCGCACATAATTGCATTCTCCATCTGTTATTATATCTCGCCGCCTGATTCACGAGACAGTTGTCAACCTAAGTATGAACCATTAAAGCGTTATGTCGTCTCCTTACATACTCTCTACATTTTTAACTTATTGTCATATGCCGACATTATAAACATCACAACCACACTTTACCTCCACAATCATAGTTACTTTTCTGACTTACGTAACACTCCGTCTAAACGAACCTGAACTATTTCCAAATCTCGTTCATTCCTAAGCATTGCAAAAGCGAAATCAACAGTGAAAGGATCAGTAAAAAAGGAATGGCATTCTGACTTGTATGCCAGCTCTGCAATTTCAGTCCGAATTTTCTTCGTACCTTCTGGTCTGAGCAGCTTTTCTGCGCCATCACTCATTTAGTTGAGAATATACCAGTAATAAATGTAGATTTAAAACAATAATATCTTCACCTTGGCGCGGCCTAACTCCTAGAAGTGTTACACTGTCCAAGAGATGACGAGGTCAGACGGCAGAAGTTATTTAAAATAAAATAGGACAAGAGCCTAGTGGCACTGAATGACATAGCTGAACCGAGTTTAGGCTAAGACGAGGAAACTCACTTTCGCATCAATTCCAAATCGTATTCCACTTCGTCAGCAAACCAAGCTGGAAGGGTGACTAGATTTTCCGTATTCAGCTCAATAAGCTCCTTAGGAGTTGCTACAGCGACACAGCCGTAAGTGACCTGAAAATAACAACAGACGGCCAGACAACGATACCATAATACATGTCTATATGTGGCAATGAAAGACAAAAAGCGGAGGAAAGTGCTCCTACGTTTACACAAACCTGCTGTTCCTGGTTTATACTATTACTCACTCGTTTTGCCTGGCGTATTAGAATAGCATCGTCTATAAAAATCACAGACGTGATGGCAGATGAGGCACCCAAGTCTTAGCGAATATTGACATACTGCAGGTCTTGATCACATATCCTTCAGACGAGGTTAAATAATCCTCATACTCACGAGACATGATCCTATGGATTAGTAGTCACGGAAGCACGACCAATCCAGGTTTCAGCCGAATGGACATCTCGACAACAAATTTTTTAATTCTCATCTGCCTATTATTAGCTTAAGTTTTGCATATTAGTGGTGGACTTGATACACCACAGTAGCAACATGAAATGTGGCTAAAGTGTTGAATCTCTCAGTATGCTTCTTAGGAATCCTACCGGACGTGCTCATATAGGTCAGAAAAAAAGTTTTAGGCGCGCTACGTCGCAAGTTACAATTATTGCGCCATATTACACTTTTAGGGATTTGCATAACAAGTTAGAATTTAGCCTTCGACATCATTTGTATTTATTCTTTTAAATCTATGTCATTCGCAAATACTCTAATATTTGAAAGACTGCACATTTCGAAGCGATTTTCCTCTCATCGTATCTAGCACCAGTGGCTAATGCTATTGGATGGTACGATTTTCATTTTTAGATTATTTATCAAAAGGGAAAACTTCTACAGCATAATTCCGTATTTTTAGACATTTGAAATCAACTACTAGCAGAAATTATAAGAATCACCTGCTAAATGCTAATTATTCCCAGCAAATTATGTCCGTGAATTATCCTTTGCAAAAGGACCTGGCCAGTGGTAACATAAGGCAACTCCTAATGAAGTGGTGTGCAAGTTACAAGTGGAACAATGGTTCATGGCGGGTGAAGAAGCATAAGGTTAACACATGCCTCGTAGGTTGGTAATAGAAACTGTTTTTAATTCCAATACTAAATAGGTGGACCAAATAAGGTGTGTGGCAGTGAAGCGATGTAATAATGGCATAATACATAGAGTTGGGGGAGTGAAATGGTAAAATGCAATAAGGAATCAGAAGTTGTCATGGTTAATGCTTAAGACAAATAACAGTAAGATTGCTCCGCCGTCTGCACAGATTTATGTGCGTCATTGTGGGTTATAATTCCAAAGAAGCTAGTTAGCCTGAATATATCCCAGAATATCTATTCATGTAACACCGTGTAGGGAGCTCAATGGCAAGTCTAACCGTTCTTTTGAAAGCGTATTTGAAAGATCGGTCCAGGGTTCGTACACGCCGGAGGACAAATAAGTTCGTCGACAATGTAGACGACTATATTGTTGACTGTTTCAGGCTGTCGCTACTGAGGTTGATGTTAGTGCGGAGTTTCAAAAGGTGGCGGCATACGAGACTGGGGCCGATCAGTATTTGGTATACTAATATGAGGTATCCAAGCAGCCGTCAGTAGCGTCCACTGAACCCTCTGAGTATCGTCAGTTGTTCTTGGTACAGGTTACACAAACCCTTAACATTTTTCATTGCTCGACGTTGCCCGGTATCGAGCGGCGCAAGATCACGCTCCAGCTAAGGTTGCCGAGCCTGGACAGCGTATTTTACGTGAGAACGCACGTCGGTATTGCGAATCAGAGGGAAGATGGGTGAATCCAAACTCCCAAGTACCCTCCGCAAGAGGTTGACCAGTTGGTTCTCGTTTTGAAACGGACTCGGGCTGCCTGGAACAGTCGAGGTCGTCCTGCACCAGCACACCTACGTCACGTTCCTGAGACCTTGTCTGCAGATGGTGAGCCTCAAGCGTGTCGACGGTGGATGTGGACAACGTTGCACTAGCCCAAATTGAATGACAGCGCGTTCCTCACCAACCAATTCGAGGCCTCATCGAGGTCGCGCTGGAGGATTTCGTGATCGACCAATCCTTTGATCGCCCGCCAAACATTAACGTCATCCGCGAAGAGCAAAAATTTGTGATAACCCTCATTAGATCGTTAATGAAGATTGGGGACAGGCTAGGCACAAGTGCTGCACCCTGCGGTATACCGCATCAAACTCTAAAAGGATAGGAGAAAGATGTTCGCGGAGTAAGTTACCAGTCCATTCCAGTGCTGGATCTTCTAGGCCATAGGGCTGGAGTTTGTGAAGCGGAATACAATGATCCAAGCGATCGAACGTTTTTGATAAGTCCAAGTAGATAACATCGATTCCAGTCCCCTCATCGACTGCGCCGGTAAAGTCATCGCGTGCTACCAGCCGATTCGTGGTACACGACCGACGTTGACGAAACACGTGCTGCTCCGGCGCTATGATGCCAGAGCTTTCCAGGTGGCGCATCGATATGTCTACCATGATTACTTCTTTGACATCGGTGAGTAAAGAGAATAGCCTAACCAAGTGGCAATTGGCAGGCTCAGATCAACTTCCTCTCTTGTGAATAGGGGTGATGATGTCTCGTCTCAACTTTGATGGAACTATGTGTTTGTATAGACAACGCTGAAAGAATCCAGCTAGTGGCTTGGCCAAGTGAACGACTGCCACTTACAGTGCTTTCGGGTGAATGTTATCCGCTTCAGGAGAGCTGTGTGTGCATATGTATAACACCTTAGCACTGTTTCTGTAATGAAAGTGACACTGATTAAACTTGATGGTTGAGTGATAGAAAGGGGAGTAGCGTTCGAAGCTTGTGCCCCTTGGAAAGTAGGTGAGTACTGAGTCCGTAAGACATTGACCGCCTCTCACACTGTATGCGTGTACCCACCAACCACAATGAGTGGTGGGATTCCGCACTGCACTTGACGAAGTCTATTGACGTGTTTGTAAAGAGTCTTGGGACTCGAACAGAATCGTTTCGCTAGCTTCTGTTGGTGAGTCAACCTGTCGTCGCAAACCAACTCCACATCGTATTTGCGCTAAACTACGTACGTTACCCAATTTTTTGAGCTGGGATCGGACTTGTAAACATGTCATACCCGATCCCTCAAGACCACATATATTTTCGTGTTCGGCATCTCAAAAAGGGTTTTGGCTAGAAGGGACGATGGAAAGCCTTTGGTTCTGATACTTTTGCAACTAGTTACGTAAAAGTTTTTAAGAATGTGTCCCAGGGTGCACTTAGTCATGAATGTCCAACTGGCGTTTTCAACGAATGCGGACAATACCACGGGGGAGAGTTTCGGAGCTGCTTTCTCCCAACACTGCAATCCACGACCGATCGGTTTTGTCCTGATTTGAACTCGCCAGGTAAAAATAGGTTGAGCTGAGAGGGGAGCTCAACACGGAAGTTGACGTTTTTCGTCTTGGTCACTAGGCCAGAGCTCCACAGTAGCGCTTGACACAGTTAGAAGTTCATTATTGGCTCTTGGAGTACCCGGTGATCAAAATGGCATACGTTTGCTTCAAAGCAAACTGTAGCCTTAATCGAGATTGCGTGTCGCAATCCAGACACACCGCGGGTACTCCAAGAGCCAATAATGGGAAATACGTGGTAATGTGTAATAGATTGCACACTTTAGGGCTTTGCAGCAGGATATTTAGCGTAGTAAACGTAATAGAACGGTAGAGTCAGATGATCGCTTGACCCAAAGGACCGCACACATCTAACCTATCAACCAACCATGAGTTCCTCGCTGGTGAGCACGAGGTCTAACAGCGATGGCTTATTCGCTGTTCTGAGCCTGGTGGGAGCATTGAGCTGATGGTATAAGGGTGTATTACAGATTAACCACTGCAAGCGAACTTTGGACTGTACTCTCGCAGTTGTTGGAGTTTCCAGATCATGGGGATTTGGGTGTATCTCTGATTTATCACAATATGCAGTGCCGATATTAGTCTGTGGTTCGTTTCAGGAGTAGATTTGAGCGGTCGGTAAACTATGGAGACAAGACATATGCCGTCGTCGATTAATCATAGCTTGTACCAAAGGAGATCAGTTACATGCGTTTGGGATGGGCTGAGTCCACAATTCGGTCGTTCCGGAGAGGTGACACACCGGGTAGAGCGATCTCAACGTTGGTAATCTCACAGTTCATCCACATTCCGGTTATCACATGCTATCTCGAAGCTTTCGAGTCTGATGACGGTGGAGTTCAACAAACTTACAAATAAGGCCTTGTGCATTAGTGTACGAGCAGGACAGTTTCTCGGTATCCAAAAGTGAGTTAGTGGTCAGCGAACAACTCAAAGGTTGGCCTCAAGTCATTCCTTTTGAGGAGTCGTTAGCCTTCGAAGTTCAGTTGGGTTATACGACTGCTCGCAGTTGTCCGTGTCCTAATGGTCTCCCGTGTTTTGTCCTATTCCATCGGGTGGTGAGGTCGCCATTAGGTCAATCCCTTCACAGAGCTATATGAGGCTTTCCATACGCAGCATTTGTTATTTGGTAACGACAATTGAAATTCAAAAATTGCGTTACTTGGTTTGGAGCTATGCAGAACGACACACCTGCAGTACTTATGCTGTCGGTGACACTAAAATGCGACGTTTTAAGAAGATGTATGCCTTATAGATTTATCACAACTGGATCATCTAAGCAGAAAATAAATTAGAAGGTGTTGCATTCCTCAAAGTTCACCCGTATCAATGAGAGCCTTTCAAGAAGAATGATGTCATAAATATCAAACTAAGTATACGCGCGAGATAGAGGGCATCCGTGAAGTACCTGATTGACACACATCGCCATTAGGGGTTCTTGTTCTTTGTGGATTAAACGTATTGCATCATCAAGGAGAACGGAGTTTGGAGCGGTTGAAAGAGCAGCGGGATGTGCCTGAGCACTCCGCGTTATCTTCCCGGGCACAGCTGCGCCATTTTTGGGTCGCTCATCCTAAAAAGTGAGAATAAACATAAAGATTGAGGGAGGGTGCTGAGTTCTAGCGAGACAAACGTAAAAATGTGGGTAAAAGGACGTACCAAGGAGCCAATGCTGAGCTTACTGCTTGGTGCGTTGGTAGGCTGAGTCGCCTGGGATGGAATCGGCATTGATAAACTTGGAACAACGAGACATTGGACGAGACGTGGCCTGCGAAACACATGCCGAGTGATCATGTCATCTACATAAGGCTGACGAACCAAATGGCACCACAATCGCTTGGCAGGTAGAGAGAAGGGATCACGGGTTCTGTGACATGAGCAGAGGAAATAACCATATGAAGATGACGAATATCGTGCAACGCTATGGCATCTATACCTCTGAGACAAATTAAAAGAGTGTGGAATGTAGCACAGTGAGTAACGTTCAACAAACATAAAACATGTAATCGGAGACACAGGACAGAATGGTCCCAACCCCGTTTCGCTGGTTTCGGCATATCAACTCACTGAAAAGGGGTTTTGGACGGATCAATGAGATGGCGCAAGCGTAAAAGCGCACGAGTCGCTCCGGTTGATGGCATTAGTGCAGCAGCTTCTGAAGCTCGTTTCCCACTGAATGCATCCGTTAGCACTGAACCGAGATCAGGGATAAAATGCGGGGGTGGGATCAGATGCGAGTCAAACGCGTCAAATGGTCCTTTGAGCAAGGTCTGTCGGGTGAACGCAGGCGGTGAGGTCAGGATGAGTGAATAGCCAGTTGTCCACGTGTCCAGCAACCATGTAATCTTCACTAGGCCGGGAGCGTACACAGCAAGGTCTGAAATAGAGCGACAGTATAAAACGGTCAAAACAGTTTTTCGGAGCATACTGCAACATAAATCAGCACAGATATCATTGACAAAAGTAAATGAAGGGAAGTGTTTACATTCATGGATTAGTCCAAAAGGGACATATTATGAGCTAAAGTTAAGCGGCTGGTCAGTAGCCATTAGGTTGAATAGAAACAGTTGCTATGAGATCTACTCGAACACCACTGAAAAGCTATGGACTGAACAGTGGTGGAATCCGTACAGCCGCAAGCCAAATTGTCTGTTTCCAAATCCACGTTAGTGTTAAGCGTAGCACAAACAGTGAGCACATGCACATGGCCTTCTTAGGCAGGGATTGGAAAATGAACTGGGCTTCTAAGTCCGATTCATAATGCGCCAATCTAGCACAAAAAACCAACCGGCATGAAAATGGTTACTCGTGAGCAATCGACAGCGTGATTTGGAAACGGCACGTTTTCCGGCAGTGGCTAGATTCGGGCTCCTTCTGGTAAATAGCGGCACAATTCTACTCCTGGAAATATATTTGTATTCTTCTTCCAGCCTTTCACGCTACTGTCATATCTATCCGCCTCCTACGTATCCAGTTCGCCTCTCCTGATACAGTTTTCTTTCGCATAACAGTTGGAGTTTAATAGTGCTGAGCAAGTGCCATGGCAGCTTTCTGTGCAAGCCAGCAACGGTTTAAAAAACAGCAAAAAGATGGCATCCAGCTGACCGGCTCGCTGATTAAAGCATTCATTAAGTTTAAACCCATTCATGGTAAACAAGATAAGCTTAAAATCGCACCTTACTGCTACTTCGAGAATATTTGTCAGTGAACCTGAACCCATAATTATCCCAGCATTGAGCCGAACGGTTCAAGGATGGACCGCCTAAAAGTTACTTCCGTTATCATAGACATTGTGGTAGCTGAAATATTCAACAGAGTGCGTTGCTCTGATAACACAATTGTGTACAACACATCCAACAGAGTTCCCTTTTCTCAGTGCAGAGAATACTGCTGAACTCGGGTAACCTGGAAAACGCACACTGCACCTGCGTAACACTGAAGAAACATTCAACATTCTGTTTAAATTTTATGGTGCTGTTGTAATGCTGCTTTTCCCTCTGCTCTCTGCCATGTCAACCTCGCCGAAGCAGAATCAGAACACCGAGCCTGCTAGGCACAGAACATGGTTAATGTTATAGGTCACATGCGCTTACCTCGCTGCTGTCACTAAGTGAATCAAATCTCTTGTCTGGGCAGATTCGACCTTGGTAGCGGCCTTGACTATCTGGTTATAGGTACAATCACGTCCGAGTCATAGCAACCACGTGATGATGACAATTTGATTTCATCAAATTCCGGTGTGACTCAGCCGTGCTACCGTCGGTCGTGCAGCAACCCGTATAAGACAGACGTCTCGAAATCGTGTCACGTCCTTAGGCTGCGGCCTGCTAGAGTGCACCATCTTAGTCACCCGTCTAGCCCCGTGACAGGTGCAGCTGCCTGCAGCAAGTTTGCTGCAAGTCGGGATCACGTAGCTAACAAAAAACTTTCAAATAGCCAAGAATGGTGGCCAACAAGACTCCTCTCTAAAGCAAAGTACAAAAGAACCTGGATTTCACTTCCCCTGGCTCGAAGGTAATGTTCTACGAAGGTCAGGTTGGCCACACACCCATCGAAATCGAACTCCAGCATGACGATTCCAGCAGAAAGGACACGACAACGAGTCCTCAAACAGACGTAGCCATCCAAGGCATGACCGTGTATGCGTTCACGCTGTCTACCGCTTGCCCCTACGGACCCTGAACGTGCGCTGGAATTAACTTATCATACCAATAACACCTCCTGATGAACAACATTCGACAAATCCCTTAATTCCTATAAAGTCGCATAACCGGTCATTCTACACGTCGGGTGACTATATTTCACGGTCTTCGCCGGGGTTACCCATAAAAAGGCGTGAAGCGTCAGAATCAGCAAGGTTCGGCTCTCCGTGTGTGTCGTAATATTACACCTACATCTAACGTTCCCATCGAGTGTTGATTTGAGTCGTCCTCACTTTTCTCCAGCCAGCCACGTGGATCGCGTAAATCAAATAACCTTGTGCTCCCAAGATGGTCAAGCCAAACCAGACCGTCTGATTACAACAAGCCCTAACACAATGACGAAGATATCAGCTGACAGTAAGGAAAGGATCACTTTGACGCCCATCGACAGTAAAGTGTGCCAGTTTCCTAGTCAAAACACGCCCAGCCAGCTGTTGGACACACGCAGAACCACTAACGATGCAAATATATTTCGTCACAGAGCATCTACAATGACTGCTAAACAGCATAGCCAAAACATCGAGCAAATTCGACTCCATCTAAGGCCAATCTGTGGAGACGATACGGTGCGGAAGAGTTATGTATTGGAGAACGAACGTATACATGATATAACATTTCAAACATAGAACAGTCGGATTATTTTGCGTACATCACTCGTGATGCCACTTGATTCCACGATGCGCCTTGTGCTACCGACTCAGTTTGCCGTGAAGATAAGGTAGAGGTTCAACGCTCCAACGCCATGCATTTTTAGGGCTAGTTGAGTCGTGCAATACGCGCCCGTTGTCCGCGATGATCCATTATTCGCTGAGTTTATCGTGCCTCACAGTCTGTGTG